CTATACATGGTCGTTTTTTTTCGACTAAAAACGCCTTACTATACATGGTCGTTTTTTGGGGCTAAAAATGCCTTATTATACATGGTCGTTTTTTTCGGCTATAATCGCCTTAATATACATGGTCGTATTTTGGGGCTAAAAATGCCTGACTATACTTGGTTTTTTTGGGGGGATAAAAACGCCTTACTATACATGGTCATTTTTTTGGGCTAAAAACGCCTTAGGTTTTTGTGTGAAATGACTTTTCTGTGTGACATTACGAGTCATTTGAATGCAATGAACTTGCAGCTACAGGGTGATCGTGTCATCTCTGATATGTCCTTTACAGTTAAGGCATTTCAAACTAAACTGACTCTGTTGGAGGCACCGATGCGGGAAGAAAACTTGGGACACTTTCCTAGCTGCCAGACAATGAAAGAGAAGCTCCATACCTGTGTGTTCTCGAAGGCACAGTTTGCTGATAAAATTAATCTGCTCGCCGCTGACCTCCAATGCCGATTTGCTGACTTTGAAGCACAAAAAAGCAGGTTTGAACTGCTCAGTAATCCATTTGCCGTTGACTTGGAAAGCTCGCCACCAAACCTCCAAATGAAGGTGATAGACATCCAATGCAATGATGCACCGAGGGCAAAACATGCCGCAGTGGGAGCTGCGGAGTTCGCCCGTTTCCTCCCCGACACAATGGCCCAGCTGCGCATCCAGGCTGCTCAAACGTTGTCGATGTTTGTCAGCACAAACTAGTGTGAACAACTATTTTCTTTGATCAAGCCGAACAAAACATCACACAGAGGTCGGCGTATTGCTGAACACCTTCACTCAATTTTGAGGATTTCCTCAGCTCAGAGCCTGACCCCAAATATTGATGAACTTGTAGAAAAGATGAGACACCACACCAAGTATCAGGCTCAGCCTCAAAGAAGTGAATATTACTGTGCAATCACATATGAAGAGTTTTTACTCAGTTCAAGTTTAAAAATTAAAGTTTAATATTTGTTTTCACTGCATGTTGCTTCTCCTTGAAGAAAGTGTTGTTTTTGGTTAATATGTTTTTGAATTTGATTGGATTGTATCTCAACCCAATTATGTTTTTAAAATATTTTATTGGAGTGAATGTTCGAAAATTGCTATTATTTTTTTTTCTTTGAAGTAAATTTAGCCTACTTTTGCTCAAAGAGAAAATATGGGCTCTTGATGGTGCCTTGAATAATACCGGCTTTTTTTATTCAATGTTCATGTTATGGGGTTTTTTATACAAAGGAAATTTGTCTTTTGTGCCTGTTGAAAATTAAAGTTTACTGACAGAGCCCTAAGAAAATGTTGCTTTATTTATCTGATCATATTGGAATGTATTTGTTAGGTTTTCAGGAGGTTCAATTTGGTTCACTAAACGATATGCAGTCATTTTAACATTTTTCAATGAACATTCGATCAGTCCGGCCCTCAGCTTGGAGCAAAATTTTTTATTTGGCCCTCCGTCCATTTGACTTTGACACCCCTGCTGTACATGGTCGTTTTTTTCGGCTAAAAACGCCTGACTATACATGGTCGGGTTTTTTTTTTTTTGGTAAAAAACGCCTTACTGTCCATGGTCGTCACTAGGCTCCATAGAGAACACCAGCATCAATAAAATACAAGTTTTTCTGTTGAAACAAGTTTCACGCCACAGGATATGCATCTAAAAAAGCAAAACAAATCCATTGTATGCCCCCACCCCCCATCTCGCCTGCACAACAACATGCTATTCATCAATTAATCAAGCTTGTATTTAAGCCGACCGCAAGAGGAAGTCGTTTCTGTGCCGTGTTTTTGCTGCGGCAAGACGCTGATACTTGATGAATACTTCCGAGACAAATATCCCTTTTTTCACTCATGTTCTCCTGTTTACCCTCCGAGGAAAAATGTACACAATTTAGCTGGGAAAAGTATTGCTTTTTTTGGGTTAAAAACGCCTTACTATCCATGGTCGTCACTAGGCTCCATAGAGAACACAAGCATCAATAAAATATAAGTTTTTCTGTTGAAACAAGTTTCACGCCACAGGATATGCATCTAAAAAAGCAAAACAAATCCATTGTATGCCCCCACCCCCCATCTCGCCTGCACAACAACATGCTATTCATCAATTAATCAAGCTTGTATTTAAGCCGACCGCAAGAGGAAGTCGTTTCTGTGCCGTGTTTTTGCTGCGGCAAGACGCTGATACTTGATGAATACTTCCGAGACAAATATCCCTTTTTTCACTCATGTTCTCCTGTTTACCCTCCGAGGAAAAATGTACACAATTTAGCTGGGAAAAGTATTGCTTGGCTTTTCTTCAAACGTCAACCCAAAACTGACGATTCATCTTCTGAAGGCCGCATTCACACGAGATATGAGTCAAATGACGTGATTGCAATTGTGTGTTAACCAGCATTTGGCGTTTCGGGAGGGACGATGGCATTTCATCGCCGTAAGATGCAACTAGTACAAGAGTGGCATTTCATTTATTCCCATTGCTCCCGCTAGTCTCCTCCTGCAGGTGCCGCCGCTAATGAAAAAGCATCAACAAAGCCGGTGTGCGGCACCTGCACTCAATGGATGAGCGCTTGCCACCAGCTTGGTGGTCATGGTGGAGCACTTAGTGGCCACTAAGCGGATATTTCCCCCGGGAGTGACAACGAAACACAAATCAATCTGCAGCAAAATTGCTCAAGAATTCATGGAGTTAAAAGTGAAGAAAGGACGAGAAGGTGTTTTTTTTTTTTTTTTTTTTTTTTTTGGTGATCTACTGCAAAAGGAAACAACTGGTAAAAAGCAATGAGGGTGCGGGGGGGAGGTAGTGCCAACCACAGAAGCGGACGCGGAACTTCCTGTAATGTGGAACGCTTTTACACACGTCACAGTTGTGGTTAATCTGTTCAATATTGTCGTGCAAACTATACACACCTCTCGCAGGCAAGTGTAGATGGGACACACCAAGACCCGAAACGGCTCCCCGGAACTGCTCCTCATGATGCCAAACACCTCACACAGGAAGGTGATGAAGCCCAACCACACCTCCACGTCCGACCGCCGCAGTTCCTCGCGGCGGGCAAAGTCTTTCTGTAGATTGGTCATGGCAAGGGGAGAGGGATGAGTGAGAGCTCTCCATATCAGCCGTGTCTAAACTAATTTTCTTGATGTGCAAAGACGCAAACTATAAGTAATAATAGTGGCCAACTCGCTGTTCAGAATGCTCAGCAACGGTAAAAGCAATCTGTGATTTTTTTTTTTGGAGGTCGCGTATGCATTAACCTTACAGCCTTCCAGCTAAAAACCTGAAACAAATGTCATGAATTTCGAATACTAATGCAGCGTAAAAGTGGCGGCCGCTGTACCATAAGCGTGTGAGAGTTCAATCTGGTTGAAGTGCAATTATGCAGATGTTGCGCCAGGAGTAAAACTTTTAATTCCCCCCCGGCCACCACTGTGACATATGACATTTTCCTCAAGTAAGTCACATGCATTCGGTCAAGCGGAGGTGAGCGACAAAATTGGGTGGAAAAGGCCGAGCGCCGTTCAGGATGGCGCGAGACGATCGACGTCTTGACTACTAATGAGCGCAGTGGCCACGCAATAATTGTCGCCCGTATTGACACACGGGCGAGCCTTGAAATAATCCGATTAAGCGAGGCCTTGGCGAATCCACGTGTGACATTTACGGCGTCTTCAAGCAAAATGTCAGGAACAAAAGGGGAAATGAGGAGGACAAGAAAAGGAAAGGAAGAATGGAACCGTGGGACAGTATTTGCATTTTTTTAACACCCCCCACTTTTGATGAAAAACTCAACAATACGCTTTTTTCTGTGCTCTTCCTGTGACACCTCAAATGCCACCACGGCCCCATCTAAACAGGAAGGTGGCATAGTTTGATGTGGAGGAACTGCGTTGAAGTGATACGTTTCGTTTGCCACCCCCAGCTAACTTCATGCAAAAAGGCAGACCACACCTTGGACCGGTCACGCGCCAATCACAGAAATGATTAAATTTCTGGGGGAGGGATGACAGTAGCAAAGTCGCATGGACACAAATGTAATGACGTGCACATTTGCTCCCGTGAGGAATCTTCAATTGCCACTGGTCTGCATTTTAGGTGCCAATGTCCTCCCTCCGCCCTCATCATCTCCGCGCTTCCTCATGCGATTGTCTCTGCTCACCCGCGACGCCACGGGCCACTGCCATCCGACTCCCACCCTCGGCCTCTCCAACCCATCTGCGCTCTCCTCGCTCAGCCCCAGCGAGCCCGTCGACTCACCCGGGGCAGAAAAGTGTCCCGAAGTGGTCAACTGAGACGAACACGTCCACGCTGTCTTCATGTGACATCGAAAGGGCCAAATGTTATCCTGCGTCCACGCTAAGTTGCCCTCCACTTACTCCCACTGCAGCTTATTTATTTAATTGTGTGTGGGGGGGTAAACTGAACCATGCAAAGATGTTGAGGTCTTAGTGACATTTCAGGAAAGCACAGGTCATGCTTTTATGCTTTTACAAGCGCTGTCCATTTGAAGTTATGAATTTGGTTAATTGTGTGAAATTGATCGGTGATCAACCGTGTCTTGAAATTCTGCCATATAGTCTCTCTGATGGCCTTTTTTTTTATCAGTTATTGTTGCGCCCCCTACAATGTTTGGGACATCAAAACCGGTCGTCCGCCCTTGTGCCTCAACTGTCCTTCGCACGCCCCCGACTTGACTTCGGTGAGAAAACATTTGAGAATTACCTGCAGCAGATTGAGAAGCAAGGACCTGAACTTGGTCCCGTCCACCATAAAGAGCGCCATCTTGTTGCACAGCTTGGCGGCAGTGGCGGCGAAACTGCGGTCCGACACGGCCTTGTCGTAGATGGTGTCCACAACTTGGCTCAGGGTTTCCTCGGAGCGCGCCGAGCTCTGTGCCTCCTCCATGAAGGAGGCCAGCTGCTCTTCCACGCCGCCGCTGTTGCTCCTCATGCTGTTGAGCAGCCTGAGCAGGCGGTCCATGCCGGGTGCGCCTAACACCTCCGTCAGTGCCTCCTCCTGGGGAAGCATAAGAGTTGGAGTAACCCTTGGTAACTGCGCCCAGGACTGGTTGGTGACAAGCATTCATAACATTCATGTTTTTGGAATATGGCAGGTAGTCTAAAGGCCTGGAGAAAAACCACGGGAAGTTCAGGGATTACATTCAAACTCCACAAAGGAAGGCCTGAGCCAAGGCATAAACCGAGAACCTTACAACATTGAGGCAGACGTCCAAACCACTATTTCACCGCGTTGCCCTTCTTTCGGCTGATGAAGAAAATATGATTCAACTCTAAATTGAGTCAAGCGGGAGGTAGCTCAAGAGGCGTCACTTAAGATGAATGTTCATGAATTGTGGCATTACTGTCAGCTCTGAGCAGCCAAGCATCAAAGAACAAATTTGAGTCACGCAAGGGTTGAGTCAAAAAAGAAAGTGGTTAAATGACTAAAACACCATGATGTGTGTGTGTGTGTGTGTGTGTGTGTGTGTGTGTGTGTGTGTGTGTGTGTGTGTGTGTGTGTGTGTGCGCGATAAAGATGAAAGTGGCCTGCAAACTCATGCACACCGTCTTGATTGGCTTAATAGGGAAGGAGAGGAAGTAAGCAGCTTTGCCGTACCTTGTCCTTTAGTCTCCTCTCCAGCCGCTCCTTGGACGACCGCAGCAAGCTGATTTGGGGCTCCCTGGACACACTCTGGCCCGACGAGCCGGGGCTTTCTTTGCCGGCTGCCACGTCTGACAAAGCGTTTGCGTCCGGCGCCGAATCAGCCTTGGAAGAGTCGCGAGGCTCCTCCATCTGCCACGTGTGCTTGTCACTTGTCACTTTTACAGTCTCGATCTCTTTGGTTGCTCTCAGAGGTGGTCCTCTGTCGGGACCGGCGGGGTTCTGTTGTCCCGGAGCTTTCTGATTCGGGTGCCAGCGTCGGTTCTGGCTGTATCCGTGCGGGTGTCCGCCCTGACGTTGCCCATGTCCGCCTTGATACTGGCGAGGAGAGCGGCCGTTGTTTCTGTTGTCGCCGGTTTCCGTCGGGCTGGGTGACTGCTGATCCCAATGGTGCTGCGGTGATGGAGATTGGTTCTTACCTCCTCCCTGAGCCCGTTGTTGTCTCCTATAGTGGGAAATACTGTCATGATTAGCTTAGCTGTGACGTAGCACCATGACATGTCAACTACCCCTCGACGACCGACGCCCCAACATTGAAGTGACGCGGCTTACATGTGGATGCATGGTGAGCTTTCTTGTCCCGCTTAGGTCTGTCCTACTGCTCTGTGTGTGCTTGACAAGTCACCGACATATGGTCCGGGAGATTAACCACGCCGGGACCGAGAAGCCGATCTATTATCTAGCTCAGCCTAAGCATGAGCAAACACAAGCGGCCATTTGCTTTTGCTGCGCCACCTCCGTTTTGTTCCAAGATCGAGCTACACAGAGTTATGACGATGCAACCAGAAATGTACACAAGGTTGCGTTTCAGTTGGGAGAGGTCACAAAAATCCAGATGTGAACGTTGAATTCCTCATCGGCGATATCTGCATTTCAACTCGTCTTACTTTTGGGTTAAACTCGTCTGAAAAGATTCAAAGCTGCTCACAGAAATGACTTGAGCGAGTCAAAAGCTCGCCATAAAAAGAAGCTTGCTTAAAATTGGCTTTTGAAAAGAGATGACGATGCAACCTTGTGGGGAGGCTGCACTGACGAGCGAGGCTGTGAAACTTTACACGAGTTGGTACAAGATCAGCGACTCCACCATCGGTTTGTCGTTCCTCACAAAAGCCTGACCCCTTAAGTCTTGACTGAAATGACGACAGCTTTCAGTACATGGTCAAAAACGCGGCCAAAGGGGGGGGAAGGTGAATAGAAGCTAGACTCGGCGTGGAAGCTGTATTTATATGTGGAAACAATATGCCATACAGGAGGTGATGAGCTACGACTGCCCCGACGAAGTTTCGAGTTTACGAACAGCGTTTGAGGAACTCGTTTACGCAGCAGCCAAACATGACTTGGCTACGTAGCACAAGAAGGCAGACTTACCGTCGCACAAAACTTTGCTGTAATTATTATACCGGTTGCCTGAGCGCGGGTTAGTTAGCGCGTAGCGACCCCGTGCACTCTGGAAGTTGTTAACTGAAAAGCCTGAAGTCTACAAAGGTAAGGAGGGGGGGACTGGGGGGGACTATTCAAAGGGGAGACTAACTTCCTTATCAGACTTCAAACGGTCTTGTGTTTCAGAAATGTGCTTACTTTAAAAGTATTTCTCCTCTTGCATAAAAGCGCCAGCCCAAGTAAATGCAAATGCATTTTATTTATAAGCCGCTTTGTATGCGTTCATCGGGTGTGCGTCCTTTCTGGCACCTCGGCGCCACTCTCGCGGGGAGGTTGGGAGACAGTTCATCTGGTGGGGAGCAAACAACCGCCTCAAATATTCAGCATCTTTGCGAGACGGATATTCGTTAAGACGAGCGGAGGGGCGGCCGCGCTTTTCTTCACCCCCTTCAACAAAGTGACGGCTACAAAGCCGCTTTGCAAGGCCGCGATATTTCCACCGTTTTTTTTGACGGGACTCATCGCAATCGCTCTTAATGCTGAGCGACAGAAATGGTGAAATTGCGTTGAACGGGACTAAAGAGGTCGAGGGATTAGAATCTATCGCGGGGCCGCGTGCCGCTCGTAAGGAGACGACGTGAAAGTTGAACAGGACAATATCTCGCTCACGCTAATGATTAATTTGATCTTTACGACAGCTGTTAGTGGAGGCTCACATCTCGTAAACCTTTCCCCAAAGCGCCAGAGGCGAGGGGGTGAGAATGAGACGGTAATAAAACGGTAATCATATTTAATGACGGCTGAGCTCGGCGGCGGCGGCGGCGATGCTTGCGCCGGCCGTCTATCAGTCACGTCGCTGCCGAGGAGTTGGCGATGAAAACGTTCAGACGCGCGGCGGCTGATGAGCTTTCAAAGTCGCCCGCCGCGCAAACTCGGTTGTCTCTGAAGCCATCAACTCATTAAATAGAAGAGTAGTTTCGGCATAATGCGTTTTGTGCCATCCGTGTCGTCATCATAATTAACTTGTTTGATCTTGTCTAAGCTGATGGGCTTTTTTTTTCTTGTAGATGCTCATCGACACACACACACACAAAAAAGCCTCCTCTCAGCCCCACAACAATCCTAAATTGAATCGGTACCAAACTGGAAACTCAAACGCATGAATGTGATTTCAAATTTATGCATCACAGAGGTCACGGCAAAAGCTTCTTTTTTTTTCTGGATGGAGATGCCAATGTTTGATCACCCTTCCAGTGTGAGGTTTCAGCTAGAGTGCGTTGAGAAGCATTTATCGTCACTGTCCAATGAAAAATATGCAACTCCAAATTTGCATTGCCTGTTTGATCTGATTTTAAAGGAGGAGGATGATGATGATGATGACACGGTGTGCTTTTAACGAGGGATCGCCTTAAGCCTCCGCGGTACGGCCTCAACAATATTTGAGAATTTTAGTTTGGATGATGAAGATAACAATGCCCAAAACTATAATAAAAAAAAAAATCAGCGAGACAACCGGAATTTGTTTACAACTCTGCATGTTGAAAGTACCATGAAGGCTGTCAGCCAATTTCACACTGCCTGTAAAAGCAGACATTTTCCACTTTTTGTCTGTCTCACTATAATGCAGGAATGGCATCGAGACAGAAAAGGGGGTGACGATGTCAACATCGAGCCTGAAATCTATCAGAGCCGTAAAGCCGCCCATGTGTCGAGCCCATCGAGCCAGTCAATGAAACGGCACTGACACAGAATAAGATTGACTTTTAAATTTCCACTTTAAACGCCAGTTAAAGCGAGCGATCTTCCACCCCGCCTCCGTCGCTGTCTTATGTAAATGGAGCAGACACAGAATTAGGGGATGAGTCGAAATTTTCCACCTTCGGAGGTACGTCGTATCAGAGCTGTAAGAATGTCCAGACAACAATTAATTGTTAAGCCCCCTTTCCCACTGCCTGTAAAAGACAAACATTTTTCCACCTTCCACCATGTGTAAAAAAGGCTTCTGTTCGAGGATCTTAACGCAATTAAAAACTTCTACATGCAAGGCCCCAAAAAAAAAAAAAAAAAAATTGTGTTAAGGAGGAGTACAGATGTGGACAGGCAACAGAACGAAGAGATATATTTAAAAATTGAGACGTACTTTGCCCCCTGTCTGCAAGCGGGACATTCCAGTAAATCACAACTAATTTCAGCCGTGCCTGACGTGCCTCCTAAAGTCGAAACACATGGGAGTGCCTCCCCCTTACACTCTTTTTACTCGACAGTGCTGCGCCTTCTGGAGCACCACACGTAGCATATCAGATGGTACGCTCGCGATGAAGGATTGCGAACTATACATACGAAAAAATATATATAATTTTTAATGGATGCTCACCACTTTGACAGTGCACATGTAGGGAGAGTAAAGCACGCTTGCATTGTCGCCAGTGACCCGCAAGGGAAAAATAGCTGACAAAAGAGTGAGGCCTCCAAGTTGTTGCCGAGGCTTGTCAAATTGATTTGTTTGGATTTGGACGACATTTTCCACAAAAGAGGAAACCGTGGAAATACAAAGTGTCCGTGCCAGGGTCAAACGGCCACCATCATAAAAACGTTATTGACTAGAGAGGCAATGTTTGAAGTCAAATTGAACATCGCTATCAGCCATGCAAGTGGAAAGCGCTACTCCGGCTCCTTTTTTTTTTTTTCCTCTTCATCATCACTCATAATTTCCTGTGATATCATCAGAAAAAGGCGAAGGAAAATTATCAAGAGATTTGCTCATGCCTGTTGCGACGTGTGTGATTTTCAAAGCTCTTGGTTCAATTCCAAATTGCGGGCATTCTACTTCTGAGGTTACACTGTAGTTTCTCCACGGTATTTTTTTTTTCCCTTGCGATGACTCAAAACGTGCAGAAAAGACTTTGCTCGTGTGTGGTTTAAGCACTCTCTGACAGAGTCAAATTAGCCGGGAATGCTTTGACACAAGCCTGCAGAACATTGTGGTCTGACTCTTATTTGGCCAAGATGCGGTCGATCCCTCTGACATAAATGTCTTGACAGTCGGCGCTATGCTAAATCAGTCAACGCGTTCATTAAAAGATAAAAACAACCCGTTCTTGATGGCAACAGCACAGCAAACGCACACATACGAGGAGAAAAACGTGCCTGGAACTATCAAGTTTTTTTTATTTCCGTCCAATAACCCCCCCCCGAAGTACAAATCCCTTGCTACGACCAAAATAGCTCTGAAAAGTGGCAATTATTTCATGTACTTTGCAATGTCCATTTGGTAGTTAGCTGAATTTCATTTGTCCATACCAAACATACAAGACAAATATTTTCCCTTTCCCGGTTGCTTAGCAACCCAAGAACAATTTTCCAATGTCATCGGGGCAGTCGGTGAGAGAATCGGGTTCCCATCTGCCCATCCTCCCCCTCTCAAGAAGCTGCTTTCAATGAAGTTGCAAATCCGTTTTTCATTGTGGATACAAGAAGAGCAGATGCGCCGGCAAAAAACTCAATCAAAACAAAGCATGTTTGAATGTTCAAAAAAAAAAAAAACAACATTGAATGTGTCTATTTTATTATTTGTCTACAGTCTGCATTCCTGCGCTGATATTATTTGGCAGGCGCTAAGAATTGGCTGCCTGACATCTGACTTCATCGCACTAAAACCTTCCCAGGAGTTTGCGTGCGTGTGTGTGTGTGTGTGTGTGTGTGTGTGTGTGTGTGTGTGTGTGTGTGTGTGTGTGTGTGTGTGTGTGTGCGCGTGCGTAGGCGGAGCTTCCGTGCGTCATTACCGTCGGTCGTTCCTCTTGCGTCGGAAGAGCTTTTTGGTGTGCGCGATCTCAGCCTCATTAGGAAGGGGTGGGAAGACCTGTTCGGCACAAATCATACAGACGGCTGACGTCAAGACCAACAACCCCGGCGTGGTCAATTCCTATACAAGTCAAAGTGCATCGCAAACAGGCTCGTTTTATATGTATATATGACATAATCCAAGACCTTTTTGCCCGAGGGGCTGCTTTCAATCGAAAAGGAAGTACTTGATTTATTTGCCCCCTCAGAAAAAGGTCGGACAGTTCACTTTGGTACAATGCACAGTTTGCAATTCCATCTGCAAAAGTTGTCACGGGTGCCAAAATAAGCACTGCTAAATGACCAATTAGGTGTAGTTCGGCACGCTTTTTTTTAAGCCATTGTAAAGCTGGGGGAGCAATCATCGTCCTGTTTTTTTTTTGTGTGTTTTTTTGTTTTTTTTTTTGGTCACTGCTCCTGCAATCATTGGGCTGTCTCTGAACTGTGCTAATTGAGTTGTATCGATTGGTGGAAACGTGGCTTCGGCAGACCCGGCCGGGAGCATGACAGGTTAAGGAACAGGGACACACAAACGGCTCTTGCTACGGTTAATCTCATCAGATAGTTGCGTTCGGTTCTTCGCAAATGCACTTTGGAACAATCATCCGGCTCTCTCGTCAGCGACACGTCGGCGTTGCCAGTCAAACGGTGCGCTCCCAGCAACGCTTTTGCAACTATGCGTGTAGTTGCCGTGGTGACACGTCATCCTGTAACTAGTGCGGACAACCGGAGTCCTTCCGCAGACAGTCCCGGTGGCCGATTCAGCAATTTGACTGAGGGGAAAAAAAAAAAACCTCAATCAAGTTGTCGGTCTTATCCTTGTCCCTTGGCCAACGTGGTGGATTAGATCATCAAGCCGTATCTTAGCCCCGGACTTTATTGGACTGCCTCGACCTTGTCACCTTTGCGGTGGCGGCTCTCAAAAGCAACGGTCAACGGCGGGATGCTATTTTTCTGAAGGTCAAACACGGCTGCCGCATCATCATTGTCATTCAGAGAGCCTTGATGAGCGGGGCGAGTGCCGAGTCAGCGCGTTCGTTCTGGCCTCTGGAGGGGCAGCAGTGATGCAGCTCACATACTTTGTTAGCCATCTAATTAACATCCACTGTATGAAAAAAAAAAAAGGTTAAATGCAGTATCAACAAAGAGGTATTCAATTAGCAAAACGCAGGCGACGAACCGTATGCGCCGTATAACGCGCGGGCAAGGCGTGTCAATGAGAGGATGTTGACCTGGCCGCATGAATTCCGAGAAAAAAAAAAACAAGACAGCGTCGCCAATGCTAGCAGGACGCCGCATCTCGTGCGGCCACATAGCGCAAAGGAAACGATGTACAGTAGATAACATAACGGGTGTATTGAAATCTCCCGGGCGTACGGCGAAAGGTCATGATCTCATTACTGTTGTTGATGGTTTCGTCAGAATGGACGCTGCTTTGCTGAAGGAGGTACGAAGAACGAGGAAGGAAGCGGGGAACGTGGAGGGGAGTCAGACTGAAGCGCTACACAGGACTTTCTCGCAACGGCGCAAAGAGTGAAGCGCATTGTCTTTGCCGCGCCTTCAAGTGGAACAACAATTCTGGCATCATTTCGGAGAACTCCATTGTTTCACACTCTCTCTCTCGCTCTCTCTCTCTCAGCTTATTTATGTTGGCGGGGAAGGCGACCAAAAGCGATAAATTTAAAAGTGCCCCAGGAGTGGCATTACAGGACAGGTTGTTGAGCGCACAGAGGGTTGGGGGGAGAAGTGGTGCAGCAATGGCAACATGAGAGATTGTAAATTTATGGCTGCGAGCGCATAAAAGCTTGAGGGAGGGACACTCAAGTACAACATTTTTCCCCACATTCCCACATGGATGAATGAGACTTCTTTTAATCTACAAATCAGCTGCACCCAACAAAATCACATCGAGGTGCAGAAAGGTGCATTAAAATTTTTTTTTAAATCACCAATGTGGTGCTCAAATAAAGACGCGTGTTTGTACACGTGTTGATAGTTTTCAGTGTTGACATTGTGCTTGCGGATGAAAACCAAAATTGACCGTCGTCACAGAATACTGGATGCCTTGCCGGCTACTTTTTCGGAAAGTTGACAAATTATAAAGTCGTCTTTCAAGATTTATTTTCGGTTGAGTGGCATACAATCAAGAAATAAAAATCCGATAATCAATAATAATTTTTTTTAAAGGCATTTTTTCACCAGAAAATTGTAATTGTAGAAGTGACAGATAATAAAATAATATTTTTGGGGGAAGGATGGATATCAGTGTAGAGGTTTATTGCTGATGTAAACAAGAGGAAAGGATCTCAATCTCCTACTGTAGTGCTGCGACTACCTGGGATTTTTTTTTTTTTTAATCATCTCGGAAAATATACCTTTTGATCTCCAAAACCTTTAATCGTGTTTTTTTTCCCCCCCGCTTCTTTTCCAGCACGGCCCCAATACCTTTGGCATAGCTATAGCTTCAATCACTCATTTTTGCGTGGTATGCGAAATGCCATTCAAAATTATGAATTGATCAAAGAGAACCTGACGAGCGGGACTTCAAGCGCAATCGGAAAATCGGCGCTGACAAGTCGACCACTGTTGCCGTCAACCGAACTCAAACTCACACCTTAGGTTTCATGTCAATGCGGAGAATTTCTCCGTGTTTTCGAGGGAAAAAAAATCCCTGTAGTATTAGATTCCCCGCAGTGCTGGATTTGCTTGGTGTTTGATGATCGCTACTTGGGGGGGAGAGGGGGAGGGGGGGGGCCTTTTGATCTAACTTTGTAAATGACGCTCGCCTGCAGTAAAGAAAGGGGAGATTTGCAGCCATCACCGTCAGGTACAGTGGCTGTGATCAATGTGGAGGCAAAAAGATGCGAGGTCCTGACATCCACATGTCATTAGGCCGCCGACAGACCCGCGGTGACACCAAAGCAGCCCGGTGGTCTGGATGCAGGAGGAGAAGGGGGGGGGGGGCATTGCGGGATCAAAGT